CTGCTATTATTTATCAGCATTACATATTTACAGTTTTTAATATTGAGCTAGTCATATTTTAGAATAATAGCATTATCTCTTAATAGGATAATTGGCAAAATCTAATTCACATGTGATGGGTTGCATTCCAAAGGAATGTGAGAGGACAGGTTGCCTGCAAAATGCCAGGACCCTGTTGGTGCCATGTCTCTCTCTAGCCAGTCTAACAATCTAAAAGCTGAGCAGAGAGCCTTTTTTTTTTCAGGGTGAGCGGAAAAGTATAGTGTTTGAGTGGCACTTTTCATGTCTGGCATTCATCGGGCTGAAACCTCGCTCGCAATTGGCGCTTGACGCTTGGAATGTTGCGCAAATGTCCAGCAGACGCGACAGCAGTTCAAACTGTGGCTCTCTTAGGTGCTCAGGCATGAAACTGTGCCGCTCATGCACTGTGCTTTTCCGCTCACACTGAAAAAAAATTAGAGGGAACATTGTTCCACACAGGCCAAAATTTTCCTAATTTTGTCTAATTCCAATGGGATACTTTCTTTTTTCCAATAATGCACATAAGTTATTCACACCACAGTTAATATTTGTATAATTAGATAGATCACATCTTTCTTATACCCCTCCTGAATTATGCCTAGGAGGAAAATTTCTGCTTTGAACAGAATTTGATCTCCCACCATTTGTTCCAACCATGATTGTATCATTTTCCAATATCTTTTTGCCTCATTGCATGTCCACCACATATGGAAAAAGGTGCCTGGTGTTTTTTTGCACTTCTAACAATTTGGGAGTTACCCCCCCTTTTCTTTGTGGGAGACCCTCAAATATCGGAACACAGCTATCATGTCACCCCTAGTCGTTCTTTTCACTAGATTAAACATGCCCAATTCCTGCAACCGTTCTTCGTATGTTTTACCCTCCAGTCCCCATTTCCGTTGCTCTTCTCTGCACCCTTTCCAGAATCTCAACATCTTTTTTATATTGTGGTCACCAAAACTGAATGCAGTGTTCCAATTGTGGTCTTACTAAAGCTTTATAAAGTGAATATAAAGTGGTATTAACACTTCACCTAATCTTGATTCTATCCCTCTGTTAATGCAGCCTAGGACTGTATTGGCTTGTCTGGCAGCTGCTATACACGGCTGGCTCATATTTAAGTGTTTGACTACTAGGATTCCAAGATTTCTCTATCATTTATTTCTATTAAGCTATTTTGTACCTGTACATTTCATTTTTCGTGGACAATCACTTAGATATGAGCCAACAGTTTGTGTCAGCAGCTCCATCACTGCAGGCTTTTAAGAAGAGACTGCCACTTGCCTGAAATGGGTCTCCTGTTTGAGCAGGGAGTTGGACTAGAAGACCTCCAAAGTCCCTTCCAACATTGTTGTTCTGTTAAGTAAGACCTTACTTTTCCCTTCCTTTTAAATGTCATTTTATTCAATAGGATCGAGTGTTCAAATGTTTCAAGATCCTTCTGGATCTTGAGCCTATCTTCTGGAGCTTTGGACTCACCCAAGTTCCCTTCTGAGGTGAAGCTGCCATTTAATCAGCTGGGATTTGGAGCACATTGGTTGAGTTGCACATATTCTGTGGCTCCACTATCTGGTAGCCTCCTGTGCACAGAAGCTCTTACATCCGGAGTTGTCCACCTGCCTGATATCTCTTTCCTGCACAGGTTGGCATTTTTCGCAAATCTGGTGTAAAGTCCCGGATCCAGAACCTCAGGCAGATGAGTGAAGCCTCTCCTGATTATGTGAATTATGAAGGGCAATCAGCCTATGATGTGGCTGACCTGTTGAAGCAGTACTTCCGCGATCTGCCAGAGCCGGTCTTCACTGCCAAGCTAACAGAGACATTTCTGCAGATATACCAGTGTGAGTAGGGGCGGTGTTGGGGGGGAGGAGGAGGGAGAGGAGAAGCAGGAGACCCATGATTTGGAATTTTAGCTGACTACCTATTGGGCTGGAGGCAGTATTGTCTATGAGAAAATAATCTTGGCTAAACGGTTGCTCCATATCTCGTAGGGAGATATTGGAGCAACCCCAACCCCCTCCCTCCTGGGCACTACCTTAAAGGGACAGGCTGCAGAAGCTCTGCTGTGAATGGAGGGAGAAACATTCCAATTGGATGGGCGGATCAAGCAGCCGGTAGGGCTGAGTGAGCGGCTGGAAGACGTGAGCAGCGACCGGGTGACCAGGCGGGTGTTGGCTTTTCGTTACCGGTTTTACTTATTTATTATTATTATTTATTTATTTTATTAATAAGATTTATAGGCCGCCCAATCCCCAGGGACTCTGGGCGGCTTACAACAAAGAGAAAAAAGAAATAATTTTAAAAAAAATTGAACTGATGCCAATTGTTCCTGCTGGTTTGGCCGAACCGGGCCAAACTGGGAGATTTCACTGCTCCCCCACACCTAGATATATGCAATTGGACCCCTCTTGTTGATCATAGGGCCAAAAGGCAGGTGGGGCTCTGGCTTGTATATCATCTCTTTCCTCCGTTCTTTAGCTCTGGTGCTGCTAGTTTTACTACACCAACAGCTGGGGAAAGCATGGTCATCCCACAGATGGATTCAGTGGATGAGTTTTGCCCACCTCACTAGAACCCCCCCCCCCTGTTGGTTTGTTGGTTGAATATCAAAATGTATGAAGAATTGGAAGCAGCTTTTTTTATTTCCAAGATATACTCAGTAGAGTGAAAGATCTGCCAATAAGCTGGGCACAATCTCAGCAACCAGAGATAGAAACAGAAATGAGATTTCTTCTCATGGGGAGGGATGGGAAGTCCTCTGTCTGGATCTGAAGAGCATAGCAGGATTCAGCAGGGCCGGACTGGACGGTGTCCCCTGCAGAGTCCAATGTGATGCTAGCAAGTTCCCGCTGCTGTTCGTCTTTAGTGCCCCAGAGCGCAGATACTGATGTTTGTTTCTCGAACTTTCCAGTTGTGGCGAAAGAGCAGAGGCTGCAAGCTGTCCAGGCCGCCATCATGTTAATGCCGGATGAGAACCGGGAGGTTTTGCAGACGCTGCTCTATTTTCTCAGCGATGTTGCCTCTTCCGAGGAGAACCAGATGACGGTGGGGAACCTGGCCGTGTGCTTAGCCCCCTCCATTTTTCACCTCAACGTCTCCAAGAAAGAGAGCACTTCTCCAAGGTGAGGTGATATCTCCCAGCGGCAGGTCAGATCCCTTGGCTCTTTGTTGCCTGATGCTCAAACCCCAGGTGGATGGCGCTTGAGAGATTGACTACTTCAGAACTGCAGCAGGTTTTTATCAAAGTTTTACAAAAACATAAGGAAGGAGGGTGGGAGGGAAGGAAGGAGGGAAGAAGATAGGGGGAGGGGAGGGAGGGAAGGAAGGAAACTTTCCATTTCCTTTGCAGCCCGTGCATGCGTACTTACCGCCCGTGACACTTTAGCTGCTCAGTGGAGCATCATGCAGGAGCCGTACGCTCCATGTCCTTGCGTAGAAGCCCTGATTGGCTTAAATAAAATTAAGGTGGGTGGGTGGGCCCCCTGCAGCACCATACCGGAACAGTACCTGATGCTCCCAGCAGGCACCGGTATGCCCATAGTGGGGCATACCAGTCATATCCCACCACTGGGCCACTCCAACCCCAGCCACCCAAGGTCAAACACAACCCTGATGCAGCCCTCAATGAAATCAAGTTCGACACCCCAGATGTAGTAGAAGCAGTGGTGGATAACATTTCTCGTGTTGCGTTATCGCATGTGGATTTCCCACAGCAAATTATCCCATGACCAGACCAGGATGGCTGTCAGACCTGGAAGCTGCACCCATATGGCTGTGGCGAGTTAGACCCTCATTCTCCATTGTTGCTGTTTGGAAAGCAGGGTCACTTTCTGCTGACTACCTGAGTTTTCATGCTGCACTTCTACAGTCTCTATTATGTTTTCCTAAAAGAGAGAGAAAAAGAAAAGGTCTATTATTTGAGAGCTTTGTGCTGAAAGGCCCCCTGAACGTGTGTTAATAATTTTTTATACGAATAAAAAACAGAAATCCATAGCTGTGCAACCTTAATGAGGTCAAACTGACATTTATTATAGTTATAAGCCAGAAGCCTCCAAACCTGGCCACTTTAAGACTAGTGGACTTCAACGCCCAGAATTCTCCAGCCAGTTATGCTGAAGTTGAAGTCCACCAGTCTTAAAGTGGCCAGGTTTGGGGCCCTTGTTATAAGCTAGTGGGGATTATCAGAGTTTTCCTTAGGTTCAACACTTAGAATCCTGGAAAAATAAGAATAAAAAGTGGTGGTGGGCATTGATGCAGATCCCATCCGCTGGTGACCCTGGTGGAAGTTTCATTGTGGGCTTGTCAGGCCTCAGGGCCAAACCTGGAAAAAGAGAACGTCACCCGAGTCCCCCCTCATTGGTGACTGTGGCTAGAACGGCTCAACCACTGGTGCCGACGGTGTTGACTCCTCTTTGTCCCCTCCTGGCAGGTCAGTTCACAGGAGGAGCACTGTGGGGAAACCAGAGCAGAAGGAGCTGAATGAGAACATGGCTGCCACCCAAGGCCTCTCCCACATGGTTGCCAACTGCAAGAAGCTGTTCCAGGTGCTACTTGCTTGCTTTCCTTCTTCTGCTCATGAGTGTGCCAAAAGCGTGTGCGCAGGTGACAGTGCGTGCATGCGCATGTGCCCATAATGCAATGTGCGCACTACTCCCCACACGTCCTACTGTTCCCTGCACGTGCGTGCACCCCTCGTGTGTGCCCTCTGCTATTGCGTGCATGACCCCCCTGTGCTCCCCCACCCCATGCATGTGTGCATGATGCTCTGTGCTCCCCACGCATGCACATGGAACCCCCCATCCCCCGCATGCACATGCATCTCCCACATGCGCCCCACCCCGCATGCACGCATGGCAGAACCTGAAAACCAGCTGGCTGGTGGGAAGTACATGTGCATGCATGGTAGAGCTGAGCTGGGGCAACAGCTCGTGTTCCTGCAGAGGGGGCACTGGTGCCATGCGTGCCATAGGTTCGCCATCATGGGTCTAGACAGTCACTTATCTGAAATAGTATAGTTTCTCCTGCTTGAGCAGGGAGCTGGACTAGAAGACCTTCAAGGTCCCTTTCAGCTCATTCATTCTATTCTTCCAATAGTGCCCAATGTAATGAAATCCCTGCTTCTTGCTGCTGATCATCCTCTTCTCTTTGATTCCACTTTTCCCAGCACCAAGCATCCCCATTTTTCTTTGTCTTTTAATGACTCCGTAATCCCTAGGTGGACTAGGTGAAACTGAATGGAGCAGAGCATTTACTGGCTGGACGCCCTTCCTGTCACCAATGCAGAGTTTGCAGCAGATAATTAGCATATTTTTTGGAGTATGAGACACATCGTTTCCCCTCAAAATAGAGGGTGAAAATCTGGGTATGTCTTATACACTGAATACAGCAAAAATGGTCATGCATAGGGTTTGGGAGGTCTGCAAAGTGCTCCTGGGGCCTGGTCAGGGCAAAAATGAGCATTTTTGCTCATTTTTGCCCCCCCC